AGCTCCCTAGAAGGCTAGAATGGGCACCCCCCAATGTCTGAGGGCCCCTCAGAGTATAACAAGGACTCCAGAGAGGATCCATCCTGAGGCAAAGAAGAAAAGCTACTGCAGGGGAAAAGCTTACTCTTTGGAAAACAAAATCCCAAACCTCTGACTTGTAAAGTTTGGTGAGACATCAGGGATCATTCCTTTTAGAATTACACTCCAGGGCTGGCCCAGTGGTGCAGCAATAGTACACTGTTCAAGCAGTGTTAGATCCATATGGAAGATTCCAGATGGAGTCCCCTAGTTGACATATACCTGCTTGGCATGAGGGACCATGATCCTGGCTGGCTGAAAGACCAGGGGGAATTGCAACATGCCACCCTATTAGGGGTGTTTATCTTTCTCTTTCTCCCTCTCTGACCTCCACTCTCATGTCAGAAATAAACTTAAAAATAAATCTACCATAAATTCAAAAAATAAATAAATAAAAGAGGACCAGTCCCATGGCCCAGAGGTTAAAGGAGCTAAATCCCACATGAATGATCTCCCTGTTTGAATCCTGGGATCAGCAGCTTGAAAAACATGCTAGGCATGTATGTATGCATGCTTCAAATTCTAAAAGCATTGAGAAATAGAAGAGAAGAGATTGTAGCATGACCATTCCCCTTGACGGGCGCTTTTTCCCTCCCCATCTCTCTCTGCCTCTCTGTCTCTCAGGCAAGCACAAGTGCCCTCTGGCTCAAACAAGCAGACCAGAAGAATTGAACTCCAGTGTATAAATCCACTTTCATTCTAACCTCGGACCATTTTTCTTGCCACACAAAGTAGATGACCCAGTGCCCTGCTCAAAGGTCTGCACATGGGAGGATTTTCTCTTGCCCCTGTCTTTTTCAAGGTCAGACCTGAATAAAACTCTAGCGCAGCTGTCGACACTCAACCTGCACACAGATACCAAACCAATCTACCCTTATAGCCAGCTTGGGCTCTTTGACCGTCCTTTAGCTGACTGGGAAGACTCTCCCATATTCATGAATATAAGCCAAGGGCACAGCAGTGGGGGGGGGGGCCCCTGGGGTGTGGGCTCTCTGCAGTATATTTGCTGTGCCCTCGCTTTCTGCTTATGCTCAGTCCTAGACGCACCACTGACCTCTGTTGTATGATGAATTACTGCTGCCCCACCGACTTTCCCACTTGGTGAATGTAATAGGACCCAGTTCAAGATGAGCAGTTCTCATGGTCATGGGGTGTCCATGGCCAGGCATTCTGTTTCTGTCAGAGCCCAGTGCCACACTTGGAGCTGTTCTTTCAGATGGTGTATGACTGGGAAGGGTGGGCAGCTGTACGGTGGCACAGCAGTAACAGAGCACTCTGCAAGGCTGATCCACATGGGAAGGTTCTGGGTTTGTGTCCAGAGATCTTCCCAAATGCATGGGACACACACGTGCCCATGATTTGGGACTGGCTGAAGCTGGGGGTGGATTATGGTGTGAAGATCCTATTGAGAAAGCCTCTCTCTGTCTCTCTCTCACACAGAAAAAGTTCTTTGAAAAAATAAACAATGGGGACCAGCAGTTAGCATAATGGCTATGTCGCTGGACTCCCACGTAGTCGACTGCAGTTCGCATCCCGGACCCGGTGCCTTAAAACTCACGCTGGGCAAGTGTGCGTGCGTGCCCAAGATCCCTAGAGGAGAATGGAGGAGAAGGGACTGCGGTGTGGCTATCCCCCCTGGGGGGGTGATTTCTTGCTTTCTGCCTCTCTGTCTCTGTCTGTCTGGCGAGCGCACGTGCCCTATAGCAAAAACCTCTCCAAAAAAAAAAAGCTAATAAAGAATGAGGTGGAATTAAACCATGCTAGCAGGATTATTGCAGGAAATATGATTACCTGGATGGACTTAAAGTTTCTGTTATGCAAGATGAGTACCTTCTAGGGGGCCACTGCAACACCTACAGTTAACCATAGGGAATTGTGTACTTTGAAATGGGTTAAGAGAATAGGTCTTCTGTTGTGTTCTTAGCAAGAAAACAAAAAAGCTTGGGACCAGCAGATGGTGTAACGGTTATGTCACTGGACTCCCACATAGTCAACCGTGGTTCGAGGCCCAGACTCCGTGGCTTCAAACTCACGCCAGGTGTGTGTGTGTGCATGCCCAAGATCCCGAGAGAATGGAGGAGAAGGGATTGTGGCCTGGCCATCCCCCTGGGGAGTGATTTCTCACTTTCTGTCTCTGTCTCTCTCTGTCTCTTTAGCAAGTGCACTGAAAGCAAAAATCCCTCTCAAAAAAGAGAGAGATCTGCCATGGGCATGGACTTCACATTTTTAAATTTTATTTTAGCCTTCTTATAATTGTTATATTATTAATACTTATAAGAGGATTTTACCTTAAATAAAACAAAAGTGCAACTTATCACAGCAACCCTGATTAACATATACTGATTAGAATATACCTGTTTGGCCAGCCTGGAAGCAATCTATTAATCCGTAACAAGGTTTCTTGAGTGGTTTGTTTGGGGCAGGGGCAAGAAGGTGAGGGAAGAGAGCTGTTACTTCCCCAGGGTATAAATAAACAGGTCACATTCAGGCTTTAGAAAAAGGTCTTTAAAATACACCTTTAATTATGTTATCTGCACTAACATCTACCAAAGAAAGGATCTCACCATTACGGCTTAATTGCAGGTTGAAAAGGAGTGAGCAAGACAGTTGATTTAGCTCCCCAAGTCAGCTCTGTGGACTTTGGAGTGTAGTGACAAGAATCTTGTGGTTTTTTTGTTTGGCTGGTTTTGGTTTTGTCAGAGGACATGTGTACTTGTCAGAGACAAAGTCAGAGAGAGAGAGAGAGAGATAAGGAGAGAGAGGAGGCATTCCCCCATAATGGGCATGGTCACACTGCAATCTCTTCTCCTCCATGTCTTCATCCTGTCGAGATTTGGGGCACATATGCACACAGTGTGTGTTTCAAGCCCCTGGATGGGATTTAAACAGCATGGTCAGCCATGTGGGATCACCTTCCTTAACTATTAAGCTGTGAAGTGGTCCAAAAGGAGACTCTACTAATAACAATATATGATCTTACTTTTTTTAAACAAAGAAAGCATTTTGAGCATATATATGGGGACTTTAAAAAATTTATGGAAATCGCCTATTATGAAAAATTTATGCATGGATTTCAAAACGATTCTTTTGTTGTTGTTGTTGTTATAGGGCACGTGTGCAAGCCAGAGAGACAGAGAGATAGAAAGTGAGAAATCGAGAAATCACTCCCCAGGGGGGATGGCCATGCTGCAATCCCTTCTCCTCCATTTTCCTCTTGGGATCTTGGGCACACACACACGTACCCTGCATGAGTTCAAACCACCAGGTCTGGGACTCGAACTGCAGTCGATTACATGAGAGTCAAGCGACATAGCCATTACGCCACTGCTGGTCCCTCAAATTGATTCTTGAACCAAAATAAATTTGCACTTTAATTCCACTTTTCCACAGTCTTCTTGAGTTCCCCTCTTGTCATCAGCTGCATTTTCTAATTCGGTTATTTAATCCCTTCTGTCCAGATTATCAGAGGTCAAGAAGGCCTCTCATCACTCTCACTAGCAACCCAGGGGCCTGTCAGCAGATGATAATCAACTAAATGCAACGATGGTGAAACCAGTCTGTCTCCTGATTCACAGGCCCAGCTCCCGAACTAAAATCCACCCAGACTCTCATGGTATTTAGCTCTGCCCTTCAAGTTTCAGCCTAGGAAGTTCTCCTTCAGGCAGAGGAAGTGGTAGAAGGAATTTTTGGAAGCCAAGTCCTGGTTGAGTCGCCTCTTACTCTTCCTGTAATCCAAGCCACTCTTGCTTGAAGAAGGTGTCTGCTGGGCTCACTGGATGCTGTGCCTGGCCTGGTGCTTCTGGTGTAGGATGGCCAAACCACCCTAGGGTTCCCGCCCTCAAGATATACAGCCAGATGAGTGGATGTGGCAGAAAACGAAAGGGTGAGGCACTTGGGCTTGTGCCTGGCTGAGTTTACAGGGATCAGCGTGTTAGGCCTGGGTCCAGTCTCGCTCTGTTGGCTTTAATGTGTTGCTTTCAGCAAAACAGGCAGTGAAGCCCATCACCTCTGAGAACAGAGTTTGCTGTACCCGGAAACAACATTTGCCAGAGAAGCAACCGAAAGAGTCCTTCATCCTGTCTCTGTTTTTCTTCCTTCTCTCTCTCTCTCTCCTTGCTTCCCTTCCTTCTCTCTCTCTTTCTTTTTCTTAATAATAACTGCTGGAATTTGGGACTGGATGATGGCTCAGCAGTAGCAACACTGTGAGGCAGACCCACATGGGAAGGTTCTGGGTTTGAGTCCAGAGACCTCCTTGAACACAGCAGGCATACATGTGCTCGTGCCCTAGGACTGAATGAAGTGGGGCTGAATCATGGCATTAAGGCCCTGTTAAGGGTGATCTTTCTCTCTCTCTCTCATGCATATGCTCATGGAAGAAATTAGTAAATAGAACTAAAAAAATAAATAAGTGATGAAACTTAGAAGCCTGGTGGTTTTGGGTCAGTATCTTCACACTGGAGGTTATACTCATGTGGGACTAGTTAGCTAAATTGTCCAGAAATGCAACACGATGGTCCCATGGCCCTATTCTGAGACTTCCACAAAAGTTAGTTATGACTCAGTCTGCCCCCTTTTCTCTCAGAATCACTTATCTCTTTGACTCTCATCCCTCAGTGCCCTATCATGTGCCCTCAGAAGGCCTCAGTAGCTGCCTCTTACTCTTGGATCGGCCAATTATCCCATTAGCTGAGAGAGCCTTGCTTGATTGCCTGATCACTGATCTTAATTGCTGGGTGCCCGGGAGCTTCAAATTGTTGTAGGCAGAAATATCTCAACACCGAAGCCCCATGGCCCAGGCTGTGGCTGGAGATCTGACAGTTACAGCCTGCAGTCACTTCACCAGCTCTAGGTGAACCTCAAAACAGTTGAGAACTGGGGCTCTGTTTCAACAGCCTCCTCCGTCCCTCAGATGTTTCTCTTACCTCATGAATCTGCAAAAGCGACTGGCACGTGTTCAGGAACACGCCTCTCATGGGATTTCCGGTACTTCCTGCCACCACTGCTGCTGCTGCCCAAGCCACAGGTCCCCAGGAAAGCCTTTCTCATATTAAGTCAGCGCTTCTGGTGCCAGACATGGCAGGGCCTGTAGTGGGAAGCATGAACAGGCATATATAAATAATGAAGAAGAAATACGCCCTCCGCTTTTTTGTTTTTGGTTTGTTGTTTTGGCATGGCTTTTTGTTTCTTATTTTTGTTTTGTTTCTTGGGACATTCTTGTTTTTTATTTATTTATTTATTTGTTTATTTATTTATTTATTTATTTATTTATTTTAGTGCAGGGAAAAGAGGGATTATTTGAAAAATGACATGTAGTGAGGTTTCTAAAGAGGATTCACAGTGGGTTGGAAGTGGCTCCTGCCCCTGTGGAATTAGCCACGTGAACATGCAGTTTGGTCAGGTGTACACCAAAGTGGCAAGGTTACACCACTGAGGGATTAATGTCTGAATTCTCCTCTGTATCCACCTAGCCCCTCCATGAAGTCCCTGTACAGTTCATTGAGTGTGATTGTCTTATATTCAAGAGAGAATCACAAAGTTCAGGGCAGTCAGGAACACTGATGAAGTTGTGGTCACCACAGACCAATGGCCCAGACTGTCTTTGAGGGGTGAGAAGCTTGTCATGTTCAACAGTGTAACCCAAGGCCCAGAAAAGTTCATGACACCAAACTGGCACCCATCAGATATTTATGGAATAAGTGAATGAAGGTAATTTTGACTGAGGTGAATATTAGAGTAAGAGAAAGTTATTTGAAGGAAAAACACATATAAGTTACTTTAGTGCCTATAGAATAATGTCTAGTCTTTCTATTTGGTCACCATTCTAGAGGAAACCCATAAATGGATCTCTTCCCCAACCTCATACACCTATGCTAACTACTTACTCTTTTTTTTTTTAACTTGATATTTTGGACAGAAAACAAGGTGGTCACCACTACATGCAAGTTCCCTGCCCTATGTATCTTCTCAAAATTTCAAATATTGATTCAGCCCAAGGCTAGAGAAAATCAGGGGGTTGTGGTCAGCCTGAGGTAGCCTTGCCATATCTGGAATAACCCCTGAGCCAAAGGCCTGTGGAGACCACAACGGTTCTGAGATGCTCACAGCAGTTTCAGATAACTTTTGAAGGAAATTCCTGAGATTTCCAGTTCAATTTCATATTTCACTGCAGAGCTCATTGAATTAACTTATATTTTTCTTGAATTCTAAGACCAGTTAGTGGCCTCTCAGATTTCTGAGATCTGGAGTACCTTTCCCACCTTTATCTGGGCCCATGTTATGCCTGCTGAGGTGGCCCCAGACTTAAAATCCCAGTGGCATCCCTCTTTGCCTATTTTCCTTCTCAAAGAGATAGTCAATGAATTATCATGGGGTAGTTAAAAATGCCCCTTTAGGTTCCCTAAATATTTACTAAGCACCTATTCCATGCAAGGCTCTTTTTAAGAATTATGAAGAACAGGAAACCTTTATGTCCTTTACAGTGGGGATTAAAGGTGAGAAAAATACAGATTCAAATACTTAGCGTAGAAGTTAGCAGGTGGGTTGGTGGTAAAGGTACTGGACTCCAACAGGGCCGACCACAGTTTGAGTACAAGACTCAGTGGCTTGAAAAATCACACTGGGCGTGTGTGCATGTGTGCTCAAAATCCTGAGAGGAGAGTGGAGAATGGATTGCAACATAGCCATCTCCCCGAGAGGGTGATTTCTCACTTTCCTTCTCACTGTTTCTCTGTCTCTTTCTCTCTGGCAAGCACATGTGCCATATGGCAAAAATCTAAAACAAAACAAAACAAAAAGAAAAGAAACAAAAAAAAGTTATTCTAAAGCAAAACAGGTAAAATGCTGTGAAGACAAAAGTAAGGCGCTTTGGAGGTGTGGGGAACAAAAAAATGCATCTATTTTGGGAGAATTAGAAACATGGCATTAAGGGACCAGCAGGTGGCATGATGGTTATGTGCTGGACTCTCACGTAGTTGACTGTGGTTCCGGTTTTGGACTCGGCAGCTTAAAACTCACTCTCGGTGTGTGTGCATGTGTGCCCAAAATTCCAAGAGGAGAATGGAGGAGGAGACTTCAGTGTGGCCATCCCCCTCAGGTGGTGAGTTCTTGCTTTCTGTCTCTCTTTCTCTGTTTCTCTATTGCCTTACAACAATTTATCAAAAAAAAAAAAAAAGAGAGAGAGAAAATAAAAAAGAAATACAACATTAATCCTGTCTCTAGTTTTAAATAAAAGATATTAAAAAGTTATATCAGGCTGGCCCTGTGGTTCAGTGGTTAAGCACCAATAGTTATGAAAGATTTCTAAATTCAAACACCGTGCTAAGCATTTTACATAAATATTCTCTTTATTCTCTACACAATATAAGGAGATGGGCAACTGTGCAGTCTGTTTGCTGTTGCTTAATAACTGACTCCCTGAGTCTGGGTAATTCCTAAAGAATAAATATTTAATTAGCTCATGGTTTTGGAGGTCCAAGGACGAGGGGCCCCTCTGCAGAGTCCTGAGGTGGCACAGGGCGAGATCTTGCCTGTTGACATGTCTGTGTCCTGTGTCTGTCTCATTCCCTTTTCTATAAAACCACCCTGATGGCCTCAGCCAATCCCAATCGCCTCCCAAAGGCCCCACGTTTCAACATCATAGTCAGATTGAATCTCCACCCATTCCATCCTATCACAACCAGATTTCAACACATGGCTTGTTTTTTTAACTTTTGCTATAGGGCTCATGCACTCACGGCAGTGACAGAGAGAAAGTGAAACCCCTTCCTGGGGGTGTGGTCACCCTGCAATTCCTTTTCTTCCATTCTCCGCTCAGGATTTCAGGCATACACACACACATACGCCTGGCATGTTTTTCAAGCCACTGGGCCTCAGGACCTTTTCATTTACTGTTCTGTCCTAATGCTCTTCCCTAGAAAACCCAGGGCTCACCTCTCACTTCCTTTGACAATTTTCTTCAAAGCCCCTTTTCTCAGTGAGGCTTCCTCTGGCCACACTACCTAAAAATATCAACCTCCACCGTGGCATTTCACATACTTCTTGCTCATTTTATCTTCTCTTTAGTCCTTATCATTATCTACTTTGAAAGTCCATCACAGAATGCAGAAAGAGAAGAGATGCCTAAGTAAATATGCTAAAAACAAAAACAAGAGAAAATTTAAAAACCCTCAGGAGTTAGAGTTATGACCTATACTTGACAATCAGAGAACATGAAATTTTGGCTAAAGGCAGAGTAAATCCAGCAAGAACCAGGATGAAGAAGACAGAAAAAAATTTATTTACCTGAACAAGAGGATTTTCTTAGTGTTTTCAGGGGGAGGAGACATCTACAGATGAAAGGACAACATCGGATTCTGTGAGGACTGTTAGCATAGCAAAGGATGGCCACAGAAAATGGCTGAGAAGGGGCAGATGCAAGAGTTCAGCAGTGATACCAGAGTTTAAATTACAAAATGAACTGTAAATTTCCCTCGAAGAATACAAACACAACATTATGGATTTTTCCAGAGATTTGGTGGACAATGCCTGGTGACTGCAACATGGTTATGGAAGGGTGTACTTTTGCAGGTTCATTGGACCTGGTGAACATGATATATCTTGACTAACCATAAACTCAAGCGTGGAAACTCAAAGGGGAACATTTGGAGGAAGTTTAAAGGTTTCAAGAAAAACAAGTAGTAGCAACATTGCTGGACTGAGTTTGATGCTCTTTTTAAAAAAAAAAATTATTTAACTTTATTTATTTATTTTATTTTATATTTTATTTTAATTTAATTTGAGAGGCAGGGAGAGTGAGAGAGAGAGAGAGAGAGAGCAAGTGAGAGGGAAAGTGAGAAAGCAAGCTGCCAGATCGGAGACTTGAACAACAGTTGGTTGGCCATGTGGGAGTCCAGAGCCCCCAACCACCATGCCACCTGCCGGCCTGAATGATGCTATCATTTTTTTTGGAGAGATTTTCTTGCTATACGGCATGTGCGCTCACCAGAAAGAGATAGAAAGAAACTGAGAAATCACCCCCGCCTCCCCGAGGTGGAATGGTCACTCCACAATCCCTTCTCCTCCATTCTCCTCCTGGGATCTTAGGGCACATACACACACATGCCCGGCGTGAGTTTAAGCCACTGGGTCCGGGACTCGAACCACAGTCGACTACATGGGAGTCCAGCGATATAGCCATTATGCCAACTGCTGGCCCCACTGAATGATGCTATCTTAACACAGCAGAGAAATTATACATGTAAAGAGAAATTGCTTGCAGTTATCTGGAAATGTGTTGCAAGTTTCGTCTTTTGCCTAAAAACAGAACTTTTCTAAATTCTTCAAGGCAATAAAAGAACTGCTACTCTGGACTTAATTTTGACCATGTCGCTAGAATTGTAGTGATGAGGAAAACTTTAGGAAAAACTAATGAAAGGTGAGCCTAAACTCTAAAGGGCTAAACAAGTAAAAGGGCAGTCTTAAGCCGGGCATGTGTGTGTATGCGCCCTAAGATCCCAAGAGGAGAATGGAGGAGAAGGGATTGTGGAGTGACCACTCTCTGGCAATTAAGAAAAAGAAGAAGAAACATAGGCAGGAAAGTTCAGGTTAAACAAGAATCTCCCCAAAATTCAACTCTGACAACAAAATTACAAATGATTCCAAAATGGGAGAAAAGAGAATAGCATCTAAATAAATGTACGTAGTTAGAAGTTTGTGTGTGTGGTTTCTTTTTTTTTTTCTTTTTTTTTTTTTTTACTCATTCGTTTACTTTTAAGTTGCTAAAGTGTATATGTGCTTGACAGAGAGAGGCAGAGACAGAGAGAGAGAGAGAGAAAGAGTAAGAAAGCACCCCCAGGGAGGGATGGTCATATCTCAATCCCTTCTCTTCCATTCCTCTGTCAGGATTTTTGGCATGCACACATACACGCCCAGTGTGTTTTCCAAGCCACTGGGTCTGGAACTCAAACTATGCTGTTGGTCCAGTGACCTTGACCACCATGCCACCCAGCTGGACTGGGGCTTATTTAATAAACCCAGGTTTACTCATTTAAGTTAAAAACATACAAAATGGCCTAGAACTCTACTCATACATTGTACCAATGTCAA